GTGTTTTGGAATCTTCGACTTCGACACCTGCTGGGCGTCGGACCCACGTTCCGTGCGAAGGCCTGGCAGGACATCAACATCAAACATCTCAGAAACCCTTCTCTCTGATGCGAACCCTGACGCAGCCCATGTCACGGCCACCACGGTGGGTGACCCCCCCCCTCATCCATCCGTTGCTTCTGACCAGCTACACACCGGCACTTTGATGCGCAGCTCTGCCAGTCCCCACCAGACCAAACCGCGGTTCGAGAAAACCGCCCAGCGCCGGCGCCGAGGCCGCCCCCTCTGCGCCGTCCAAGGCTTCGCCGGGTGGACCAGTCCAGGTCCAAGTCGCTCGCCGGCAGAGTCACAACGGCGGTCAGTCCTGGCATCGGCCACGGTCGGCGTCGGTCGGCGCGCGTCGGTCGGTTTCGCGATGGTCTGCAGACAGGTCTTTCTTGGAGTCCAGGAATGGGTGGTGGTTTACAAGGCCTGGGATCTAAAAGAATACGTCCCTATTCTCCAGTCAAAGACTATTATAAGTATATAAATTGCATGATTGATGATTGCTTTTTAGAGCGGGATGGCCTGATTGTCAAACTCAACTTCCGGGGAATATGCTAAAACAGCAATTTGTTTAAGACTGGAATCCCAGAGGTGACAAATCACCTATCATCAACTCTACAACTTATGGCATCAAGAGGAACGAGGCCGCCCGCCCTGGCGAACGCCTGAGCACCGAAGAGGTTCACTCCCACGTTGGTCATCTCCGACCATTTGGAGAAAGACAGTCAGTCACGTTGGTCCAGTCAAACACCCAGGTCCATTCCCTCCACACGAGTCGTGTGTTTGTATGACCAACTCCAGTATTTCACGAGGTCATTGACCTGCAGGGAGTCTTTCCCAACGTTGAAACCAAGGCCTTCAGGCTCGCGCGGCTCGCTCGGCTCGCTCGGCTGCGCCTGGACTTTGTTCGGCAGCCGCTAGGAGCGCACCTCAGAGGCGTTTCATCCGGTGATGCCAGTGATGCCAAGCTCTTCACCTGGGGGAACCACCCAGTACGTCGGGACCATCTTCCTTAGCTAATGCCCTAGCTAATGCCCAGCCATGCCAAATGGTGAAATTTTTGGATAGGATGGCAACAAATGAACCAGAGCGGAAACTTGCTTAATGATCTTAATGCCTCTTCTTGTCATAGCAAGTGTTCACGCTCCTCCAACCTCCAAAATCATAAATTCCTGTTCATGGCCATTGCTACATATGCTTTACAGCACCGAAAGTGGTTGCATCAAATCCACTTGTAACCGAAAACGGCCCTATAAATACCTAATCACGATCTCGAGTTTCCTCAGGTATGCCAGCACCCACAGCTGAGCTCCGCCACTTTGGCGAATCTCCAAGGGCAACTTGAGCACTTCTCGGTCGGACGCGAACTCGCAGCGAACCTGGGACGACCGTGAACTTGCACCTGCCCTCGTTCCCATCACGGTTTTTTTCGGACCAAAAACGCACCGACGACTCCCTCCCGCCGCCTGTTCTCGTTCGCCAGAGGCGGAACTCCCGCACCTGGCGATCGGGTGACCAAAGGAGAGGCGAATGCACAGAAGAAATACATAGGAGTCAATCCCACTATTATGAAGTGCACCAATTACGAAAGGATCATATAAGTCAATCTATACATCTCAAATTGATCAATCCCACTATTATTCATGCCGCATGCATTCAGAATAGCCTTCTTCCCTCTATTTGGCCACTTCAGAAAGCCACCACCACCGTGGAGTGCCGCTACGCCGGTCTACGCTTCGCCAAACGCCACATCGGCGGCCGGTCTGCGCCTGGATGGCAAGGCCACCTCCACCACCAGCAGCTCCGTCGCGTCGCGGCCTCGACTCGGGTCGGCGTGCGTTCGGCCGTTCCACGCCGACTCGGACTCCGTCGTGCCGTTTTTTTCGGAACGCTGAAGTAGGACGATTTGGGGGAGAGTGACAGAGCGCAAGGAGCAAAGAGAAGAACGCTTGATCACATTGGGTGTCTGGCTCACGTTGCTGAAATGTCCTGCGGCAAAAAATATGAACACGAGCGGTTTGGGGCGCTTTGGAGCTGAAGACTGATGAGCAACCCTCTCCTGTGTACAAAGCAGAAGTCAAAGCCTGTGCAACTTGGCCCGACCTGCACGAACAGGTCCGCACATCGTCGCACATGGTGGGCTGGGCTGGAGCGTCTTGAACTTTTGGGGTGTCGCACAGGGTCTTGCAATCGTTTCAATCTTTTGGCTGTCCACCAGGGGTTTCGGAGACGTGCTTTTTGGGAGGATCATCAGATTGCGAGCCGAGCAGCGCGGACATCGCTGGAGGTAACACAGCCTCGGCAGCGGTGGGATTCAGCAGAAGCGGTGATTCGGTGGGCTGGGGCTCGGACTGAGTGAAGTATGACCAGGTAAGAGATCTGCAGCAAAACCAGGAGGAGTAGAAGCACTTCCACTCCAAAGCGAAGGAGCCTGGCATGAAAAAAATAATGAAAAAAGAACAGAGAAGCCAAAGCATGCCAACGCCATGCCCACACGCACGCGATACGGAGTCAACAAAAAGAAATGAAAACAACAAGCTGCCCCATGGAATGTCAGCAGCACAAGCTGCCACGCTACGCCGGGACGCTAGCACGTTGACTGCCGAAACGGTGGCCGGTTCGGCGGCGGCACGGCCCGCAGGCGCCGCACGATGCGGCGGTGCCAAGACCAGATCGCCCGCCTGGCGAATGGAAGGGTCTTCAATTGGATGTCAATGATGGATATGAACCACCATGTCAAGGAACATGGAAGTGGACATGTCAACATGATGTCAAAATGAAAATTAACTATCGACTGTAAGGGGATGTTCCTATTCATTTCAGGCTTTTATGTTTGAAGGGTCAGCGGCAAAATGAAGCGAAGCACAAAGGAGTCAACGGCTGACCTCGCTGCTCCACGGCCGCAGGGGTTTGGCCACTTGAAGCATGATGAAATCGCATGCAAGATTGTGGATTCTGTGGGCTTTCTCTCCCATCCCACCGAGTGGATGAACAGAAATAGACCACCGGACAGGCAGGTCAACCCACGGAGGATATCCAGGGATGCCATGCACAGCCCATGACCCATGAAGTCACGAGAGAACCGATAAAAACCATCCAACACCGACAAGGACCCGACAAGGACCATCTGACAAGGGTCCCTCACCTGGGACATCCTCACAGCTGGGACATCCTCACACCTGGAAACCGCTTTGCTGCGCTTTGCTGCGCTTTGCTGCCCTTATTTGCTACTGGGCAGGCGCTTGATGAGGCCGGCTGTGAGTCTTTTGTGGAAGCGTTTTGTTGGTCCTGCGTAGCTTGTGACCTGAACCCCAAAAAAAGCAGGTGGAGCATCTTGGCACCTGAACAAAAACTTGTCGTCCACCGTGGCCCTTGGACGTCGCTCCAAGACCTCGCTGCGCTGGAACGCAGGCGGGGCCGTGGTCGTTGGACGCGTTTCGTTCGCGGCAGGGCTGAAGAAACCAGACGAACCGGCTCAGGACCTACACAGCGTGTTTTTCCTCACGTAGGGTCTACAGGTGGCTTGGAAGTTGAACGGATCAAAAAAGATTGGGAGAGGTCCTCTAGGAGTCGGTCTCTTGGAGGTGGCTGGGAGCTGGAAGGGTCCTCTCTCTCGCCCACATGATCTGCTGAATCTTCCAAGCTCCGTGAAACGAAGGCTTGGAACGCTGAGGCCACTGGCAGAATGCGTTTCATCATCAATCCAAGGATCCTGCGCCACGGAGGCCACTCTCGCAGAGAACTGCATGTCGAGACAGGCTTTGCGTAACACAGCCAGGCATCTCCTCGTGTCCCTCTCTGACTGGAGAAAGCACTTGGACCAGGTCAGCCTTGGGTTTCGTGCAACACATCTGGTTCGGCAAAGCGTACTGTTCAAACAACACCTGAAATCTCCCAAAGCAGTTTGCATCCATGATACCCTGTAAGTCCAAGACTAGTTTAAGAATGCAGGTGACCCGAAAAGGAATTTCCTCTACTTCGCTGGTGCCAAATATATGTCGAACTGGACTTCTAGGGGACTAGGGGATATACAAATCTTCCCCGCAGGAAAATCTGCAGGTCCATCAACCGTAGGTCTACCCAATCTGCTGTCACGCTGTCAGCAAACGTTCGATTGCTCATGTTCGTGTTGCCTCGTTTTGCTTCATGTTGCTCTTCAGATCTTGCTTCGTTGCTTTGACCTTCTGAGTCGCTGGCTGAGCAGTTTGGAAACATTCTGCAGAGCCATGCTGGATCTTGGAGTCTGATCGATAAAAAGATCAGAACTTTGCATCAGCGCTCAAGTGTTCATGTTGATCTAAAACACCCAGAACCGTAGGGTTTGCCTTTTTGGGGGGGTTGATAATGCTCTCAATTGGTGTGATGCTTTGGATCACAGGTACCACCATCCAGGTACCACCATCCAGGTACCGGCTGAAGGGCTTGGGATGTTGAACGCCTCGGAACCCGAACGGGTGGATGTTGAACGCTTTCGTTCGTTCCCTTCTGACACATTGTCATGGTCGGCACATGGTCGACACCTAGGTTTTTTGAGACAGGTGTTCGACCCTCGTTCAATCGGAACAAGTCAACGACCCTCGTTCAATCGGCTTGAATGGCGATGCGCTAGCGATGCGGCTGCGAAGGAGCCTGCGGATGGTTTTCTAAGAAGGACCAACTCTTCAGTGAAGTCTCTATCACTGGTTCTTCTGTCTGTCACAGGTCTGTTTGAGCCAACTGGTCTGCAGACAGTGATACTTCGTCAGGTCTCCCCACAGAGATCGTCGCGTCAGGTCAAGGAACGAAACGATGATGGTCGTACTGGTGCTCCCGTCCCGGTGTTTCTCCCAGACGCCTCATTACCTCAAAAAGGGCCTTGCAGACCTGCGATAAACCTGCGATTCGTGTCAGACACGGCTGCCAGGCCCAGCGTCGAGCGTCGTGCGCACGTCGTGCGTCGTACGTCACTCGGCGTCCTCGGGTGGTGAAGCCATTGGACCTGCCGAGGGCAAGTTGGGGGTGTGTTTTTTTCATTGGAGAGGTACTTGTGAAAGTGAAGTAGTTGCTGGAAATGCCGATCATGCATACCTCTTACAAAGCATCGCAAGCATCAGTGAATGATGTTGAAGCAATGCTACCAGCTGTTTTAACCTGTGCTGGGCAAATCTAGACTCGGAAACCTCTTGGCATGGAACGAGGTTCTGAAATTCACCAACGATGTAGGCAAGTTGATGTAGGCTAGGGATATGGCTGGAACTGCATACAACTGCATGAAAAATAGGAACTGAGGACATGAACACAACAAGTATATATATATATATATACATATACTATTTCTGCTGCAACCCTGTGGTGTGGCACACGCTTTCACGGCACAAAAACATAGAAGAGCTGTAGATTAGTAGATCTTCAATCCTCCAAAACTTTGTCGTTCCCCCTGTCTCCAACTGTTCGTCTACTTCTGGTCTGTGGTCAAGAATGTCCAGCCGAGTCTGACTCCCAGCTAGGCTTTCTTGACCCTGAAAGCTTGTTACAAGGCTCTGTTTCCCAGAAATGACCTTTAAGGAACAAAAATATTCCCACAACCGGCCTCCACTTTGGCAGCCGTCTTGGCTGCGTGCAACTGAGGGTAGCAGCTCTATAGACTCTATAGGACTCTTATATAGAAGAAAGAAGGTCATGCGACTGGTTTCCGAAGTCATGTGGTTTCTGAGTTTGGTTAAGGGAACGAAAGAACCTTGTTGAAGTTAAAGTGGGAAAGCTTCACGAAGAAACGGGGCCACTTTTATGGCCCCGGTTAGCAGCAGCATACGGTGAGAATCTTGAGCCAAGAAGGAATGATGTGTGTTCGGGCAACATAGGTCGCTTGAAACAAACAAACGCAAACATGCAAAGACAACATAGAGAGGTCCCAGCGGTTCCAAAGGGTGTTTTCTTCTTTGCACCCATCTAATGTGAGTGCATCAGCTGGGCTATCCGGCTATCCGGCTATCCGCATAGCCCTATCCATCCAACCACCCCAAGATCAATCTCACACGTCTTTTCAGCCAAAGTGAAACGACATTCCTTCAGCCTGGCTTCCGGTGTCAATCCAATCTTCACGCGGTGCACGAGGCACCATGGAGGGAGCAGGAGGTGCCCGTGAGGGTTCGAAGAGCTCTTCCGATTTCAAAGGCAAGGGATGTCGCAGTTGCCCGAGCTCTGCCAACTTCTCCAAGGCATGAACATCAGAAATGTAGTCTCTGCAATCATCATTTCCTTACTGAGTCCAAATGATCCTGCCAATAGAAATCCGAACATGTCTAAAGTTGTCTTGACATCTATTTCGCCTTGCATTGATGGGTCTCCAAAAGAAAAGGTTTCAGCCTTGTCATTTCAACCAGCTCAGCTTCGAAAGTTCTCCTGAGGATGCAAATAATCATCTTCATTACACGGAAAGTCCGACTCTCCAGGACACACCGACGCCGTCGGAGCATAGTGGTTCTCACCACAGCGCACGGAACCAATGTCGCTCAGATCGCTGCTGGTGCTCACCAGGTTGCCATTGAACTCTGAGGGTTGCTGCGGCAGGCGCTCGCCCCACTCGTGACCTGGAGCTCGCAAACGTTCCAGCCCGGTGCCGCGGCCTACAAAGTAGCCCACGCCCGTGCAGTTGTTCTCATCACCTTGGATGGGTTCTAGCAAAAAATAACATGATGCGACCCTGGAGAAGCCTTCTTGTCTTCTTGTTCTTTGCCAAGACTGCTTTATGATCAAGCATGGTCAAGCACAATACTGTACCTACAAACGTCACCACTTGGGATGTCCGCCAACATATTGCTCTTTATGTCTCCAGTTTGGTTTGGAGCCTGTATTCCCATCGTTTATCCCCCCAGATTCCCCCAAAAAGTTGCGGATCCCATCATATACCCTTCAACCGGCCTGAAAACATGGGAGCTCAACCGCCACCAACAAAAAATATCCACCAAACCCGCCGGATTCACAGCGCGCGAAGAAGGAGTTGTTGGCGATCTCGTTCTGGATCGTCGGTACGGCCCAGTGGTGTGGTCGATGGAGTAGTCCAAAGGTCACCACGCTGCGGTTGTTGTCCGGTAGATCCGAGAAGAGCGGCGCTGCCACCTGGCTGTAGACCTGGTGCGGATCCCCCAACCAGCGGATCTGATTGGAGGTGCGAAGGTTCTCCATGACGTTGAAGGTCAAAGAACACCGTTGAGAATCCAATAAAACGGCCGTGGGCATGCCCCAGCAGTGTGTCAGGTTGTCAAAGTCATAGCCAGGATCGCGGAAGGTGTTGTTTCGGATCTCCATGTGTGAACATGAATCGACATCCAGTGCCATTCCGCAGGTGTTTGAAACGACTGATGATTCGATTTGTGCCCCGTGGCTGTTGCCCTTGCAAAAGAATCCAGCACCGGCACTGAAGGAAGGCGGGCCACAAGCAAAGCCACTGTTGCGAATCGTAGTGCTCTTGACTTGTCCAAAGCCAGCAAAGGTTATTGCATCGCAGGAAATGTCTTCAACAATACTTTGCTCAATGGAATTCTTCTGATTGGACCGCAGGCCAGCATCAAATGCCACACCATAATAGCAGTGATGAACATGTGCCTTCAACACGACATTATTCCGTGACGTTGGGCTCTCAAACAAAATACCTATGCCGCCCTTGCCACCCCTCACCTCCACGTCGCTCACCTGAGAATTGTTACCAGTCAAACTCATCACACTCCTGCAGCAACTGGCATCTCGCTGATGGCCGCCGACCTCCAGCACCAACGACTGCACCTCCGCCTCCGAGGACACCTCCAGCAACGAGTGGGTGATCGCCGTGGGCGCCGCCAGGCGCAGCTCCGAGAGCCGCCCGGCTGCTCCGAGGAGCGACGAGTTGCGCGGCATCTGGAGGCCGTGCGGCAGCAGGAAGGTGCCCGGGCCCAGGATCGCCACGCCTTCGGACTCCAGACACTGTCGGATGGCGCGGTGGTTCGCGGCTGCGGTGGAGGGCAGCAACTGGAGACAGTGGTCGGCCAAGGTCAGGGTGACCAGGGCGCTCAAGCAAAGATGTGCACGGAAGGGCTGAGAGCCCATGGTACCCATGGCTAACCTGCTTTCAAGTATGCGCAAGTGAAACCTTGGCATGTTGCTTGGACACCTTTTGGTCTATGGACTGCATGCCAACATGAAGAGTGTAGAGTCCAAGGCATTCATGATGACTGACCAAAAAATGAAACATGGCTGCCTCCAACTCAATGATTCCCTTGTGAAGCCAACATCAAACTCTCATGTTTCAGCCAATGGCTGCAGGAGTCATGGAGCACGTGAGCACGCCGGCGCCTTTTTGGAACATCATCATGTGGCGCTCCGAGACGCGGCGCCGGCGCCCCATCCCACAGCGCTCTTTTGTCCAAGCCGGTCTGGTCATCAAGGCAGGCCTTGGGTGTTCAAGCGCGAAGCTTGCGCAGTCCGTGGAGGCAGACTGAAGTACGGGAGGGACTGACGTGAATGCGCTGGGAAATTGGCTCAGTGGAAGGCAATTTTTTCTCTACAAGCAGGTGGCATCCAAAATGCCAACTCGCTGTCACCATCCGATGTCACCATCACCCGCTCCCTCCCTTGTGACATCGGCTCCCTTTTCGCTGGTCCGAAAGTTGGAGATGGCCCCTACAAGGAAGGCCTTCTTTTGGGCCATCCAAGGCGAGCCTTTGGTCCGTGTTTTGCACGTCGGCAAGGCAAGAGCCTCGCAAAATCCATGCAGAATGACGGGTTCTTTTGTACAATGACGTGTTGGACAGCTTTGGCTGTCTATGTGCACATTCTATACATGTTATTCTCCTTCCTTCTCCCATGCACAGTCACTCCGGGCTCCGTCACTGCGATCGCCCTCTCCGTCACTTGGCTTCGAAGTCTTGCGCAAAGCGTCGCAGTCGAAGGTGCACCAAGTGCATCAACCCTTCACCTGCATGGATCATCGAACGCACCGTTTCTTTCCCCCGTTTCACGGATTCATATGTGTGCACTGTGTGGATGACTGCAAAAGCATCCAAATACTGTCACACTTTATCTATATTAATTTATATATATAATATATATATATCTATTCATAGTTTTGAACAACGCCCATCTGAGACGCAGCCTGAACAAACATCAAAAAAGTCCTCTCAAAAGACCATCCCCCTGCCTCGGGCGATGGACCAAGCGTCTGCCCCCAGAGCTTCCTGCGTTCACATCATCACATTGCATCCCGTTCTTTCTTTCTTTATTTCTGTCTTTCTTTCATTCAGTCGTTCTTTCTTTCTTTCATGTTCTTTCCTTTCTAATGTCTTTCTTTCTGTCTTTCACAACGGACTGATCGAAAAGAGATACACCGGCAGGTGTTTCACGACAACTCAGCTGCCACCCACACGCCTCACGCCACCCTTCGCAGACGCCAAACGCACGCCGACACGCACCGACGCTGAAGCCGCTGGGTCTCCCCAACGAGGATCAAAGCTCGGGAGGTCGGAAGGACGGTGCTCTGCATGGCTTTCCGCGGCCTCGGTGGCGCGTTCCGCGGTGGAAAAGCTGGTGGCTTGTCGTCCTCACGCCGGTCGGTGGCATGGTGTTGGGGGTGGAAAAAGAACACGAAATACACATCCAAGTGAACAACATCTTAAGAAAGGAGTACAAAAACAAAAAATAGAACTGTACCCTATCACAGTCATCAACCTTCAACTACTGAGACCCACCCTATTCCTTCAAAGGATTGCGGGAACATCGACCCACTTGGGTAATGCATTTTTCAACACACTAACTAATTATAGGCCTAGGCCTGCTCTGCTTCCAAAGTTCATCTGAGGGAGGATGAATAACTTTAAACATATAAAAAATAATATATATATATATGTTAATATATATATATATATTACTGAAATAGGTTTGCATGCATGAGTCAAATGTTATCAAAACTTGCTAACGCTTGCACGAGCTTCTTCTTTATGTTTCAAGCCTCAAGCTTCTTTCTTTGTTCCAAAGCACTTCCCTACTTTGCAGTGTTGGGACTGTGTTGAAACAACCACAAGTTTGAGAAGACTTGCTGACAGCGCACATCTCCAACGCCCAAACCTCCCAACGTGCAACGTGCCGCATCACTGAGCTCCAGGGCCCATCGAGGCAAGACTCGCTCTGCGCAGCGAATTTCACTGACATGCCACAGACGGCCTGGGTGAGCGCGTTCGCAACGGAAGCGGCGCGAATTTCACGGCGGTTCCAACAAAGCCTCGGTTTCATGGACTAAATACTAAAGCCATCATTCGGCAAACATGTCTTTCAACATCTTCACAGACCATTCTGCTTTTCAGCAGGACTGTCCACCGCATCACTTGTAAGATCGACCACACAGGCACAGGGCTGTCTTTGGTGTCCTGTGCTCCAGTCTACTCATCGAACGCCTTTTTTATGCGTCGAACGCGCTTTCTACCACGGCGAACGAACGCGAACCGGCACCTCCGGATCGTCCACCAGATTGCTGGTGAAGTCGTGAAGGAAGACCGAGCCCTCCATGGACATCATCGAGAAGTCCGAGGGCCAAACGGCCTTAAAGACCACCTGGTCAGGAGAAGTCCGAGGACATGTCGTCCGGACATGTCGAGGGGGTGGTGGGTCGCGTTGAGAGCCTACCTAGATCTTCCAACAATGCCAAAAATATAATGATGCCTTCAAACGTGTATATAAAACCAGTCAGAAAACGAAAAGTGTATAAAAACTCTACCTATAGGTGGAAGATCAGGTATAAACACAACCGCTTGGCCGCTTGGCCTTAAGTCTTGACCAGCGGAGAATCGCCGGCCTCGAAGGAAAGATCAAAGAGATGGCGCCTTTCTCCTCAGATCCACCCCAGAATCAGATTTGGTGGCAATGGATGGGTGCTCAATACTCCTAATATAGCCTATAGTAATAGCTATACAGGTATAGGATCATCCACATGTAGATAGACATCCATATTGTCCATATATACAACGTCCATATATACAACTTCGTACAACTTCATCAACTTCCAAGGAGAAGACATATCGCACCTTTCATGAGTCGAGTGGTTCTTCCACCACTGGTTGGCTTCAATGGGGGATATGCAGCCGGGGCTTTGTTTGAGCTACAGGTGTCGGCAGCATATGTCACCTGTGATCACGTGTGGTACAGGTTCTTAAAAACACCACCAACCGCTGGTCATGCTCACCCCCGCCGGTAAGCCGGGCTTCTAAACCCGGCCGCCACGCCAAACCTCTCTCGACTCAAGAAACACACGTGGTGTCACCGATGCACGATCCGCGACGCACGCACGATGCCCACCGCGTCCACCGCGTCCTTGGTTGGGCCACAAGGACGCCAAGCCATCGATCTCTTGGACGCCGGAGACTTCCACGTGGCCTACCACGATTCTCCACACATCGCCGATGCTTTTCGAGGCGGTTTCGGGGATTTCCCGGTCCGACGTGGGGATTTCGAGTGCAGGAACGGTGGTTTGATCACTATAGAAGAACAAAAGCGCAGATCGGGTCTTCACACCCATGAGCCACCCAAATGTTCCTATTCAAATAGCCACCCCTGCCCATCGTGGTGGAACAAGCGAGTTGGATTGCAAGCACGGAGCTCCCGGAGCGACATCGCCTGCATCTTCAAAGTCGACTCGCAGCGGTGGGAGCCCTTCTCGTGCTGCGGCACCTGAGCTGATGTGTCTCTCTTCTGTTCAGCCGAATGAATCCTTCTGTGGAAGTGAAAGAGCCTTTATATTGCTTCTTTTATAGATATGTTTGATCAGTTTTGATCTCTATTGATTGAAAACTTCATGTGTGGTGAACTACGTTGACCTGCTGGTTAACCATACAAAACTAAAGAAGAACGCCAACTGAATGAGTCGACATAAGAACAGCACCTCGCCTTGCGCCCTTGCTGGTTCCAGGATGCCCACCAAACCCCCACGACATCGTGGCCCCGCCCCAGGGTGGACGCGTGCCCACGGCGCCCACGGGACTTCTAAGCGTCCCCCACCATCCAATAGGCGTTTCAATGTCTGCCGACTCCAGGGCAACAGGTCGATCTCCTCGAACGCACCGAAGTAAGACTCGGCACCAAGAGACGAAGATCGGGATATGTCATGTAGAGACTCGTGCCGAGTAGAAACACAAACACACGGAGCCCGAATTCTCTTGAAACATAGAGTAGACAGTAGAATGAAACTATGTCGACGTGTGATTCTCCAGTTTGGCTGGTATTGGATGGACCTGCAGCCCATCCCAACAAGGTGATCCTCCCAAAGAAATGTCTTTTCACAAGCAGAGCGCAACGAGCGTCGGTCTCCGGTCTCTCCTCCCAATTTCGCCCAGCACCTTAGACCGCCACGCCCAAGCCGACTGGACTGGAGGTGGCGAACAGGTCTTCCAAGAGATCCGAGACACGGCAGCTGACAATCACTTCACCTTAAGAAATGACTTCTTGAGGGATCCTAAATTCAGAGGTCACGACGTCATTGTTGAAGACTCCACAACCGGAGTGAACTTCCGCATTTCTTCTTCACGCACGCGCGGCTGGACTGACTATGGGACGGCTCCAACACGAGAGAGACACATTCCATCCTTAAGGCGTCCACGAGGTTTGGAGTCGCTTGGTTGGTTCTTCAGCGCCATAGGCTTGGTTCGCTCGCGGGAAGGCGTGGGTGTAGCTCTGGCGCTTTCCTTTGGACTCGGTCGGAAAGAGGCCGACGGAGATGAGAAGAGACAAAATGCCAAGTGTGTCAGAGTGGGAAGAGACTTGGAGGGCAGCTGACCACAATATAGGTCGACCTAAACTTAAACGTGCAAAACGAGTCCAAAAAGGACCAACTTCGTTGTTAAAAAGAGACTATACAAGACGTTGACAAGACTATACAAGACGTCGACACATGCAAAAAGGCTGGAAGTGAAAAGGTGAAGGTCCAGTCCTTTCGCATCATTGTAGCCAGCTCTTCGGATTCTTTGGGAGCTGCAGCTTTCACAGCATCTGCCGTACCTCATGGCATCTCTCAACTCTGTCACAGAGAAATACATGGCAAATCAAGCAATGTAATCAATGTATAAAGACACATAAACTCCAACCAACATATTTCACAATAGAATAGAATTAGAATCGATAATCCCAAATCAAGCCAAAAAGGCTCTATTCAACCTTGAGTTCTTATGTTTGTGAACTTCTGAGCTGCAAACTCGTGCGGTCAAGCGGAAGTTCTGCTGGCCGACATCGCCTCTTGTGAAAGTACCAGTCAGCCTGACGACAAGCTTCACTCAGTGCATATCGCGAGAATTTGCAAAGAGAAATATTCCGGCTTGGGGTTATTGTGTCTTGTTTGCTGCTCACGATCATGGTCCAACATGTACAAGTCCATGAAGGCAGTTTGATGGAAGGCCTTCTGGCATTTGGAATCACAGTAACTTACAGCGCGGCATTGGCTGCATCGGTGTATTCGTTGGAGAGGCTTCCCACCTCAAGCTGTCAAGCACAAGCAGCTTGCGTCGGTAGAAACTGAAGTAAATCGAATGTGGAACCTTCTCCTGAAGGTGAGCCTGAGGTAGATAGAATGTCGCGTAAGAAAATAATGTCTTTCATGCCAAGTTGCATCCTGAGCACGCTCCTGGTGTAACTGACACAAGATAGTCTTCTTCCCAGGTTTGTTCCTCCGCATGTGAATTGCAAGAATTAAACCACACAGAAACGACGTGGTTAACAGCCGCCCAGTGCCTTTGATATGCTTTGTATATGTCACTTCGTTGATCTTCTTTGTATCATTTTCCACAGATTGAACCTACTTCACCCCAAAAAATAAATCCCAAGCCAATACATCACATTCTCTCTTGGCCTCTCTCCCCGTTTTCACCGGCCTCGGAACAGACGTACCAAGGCCCCGCAATCGCTCGGGGATCCTCCGGATCCTCCGCCGCGAAGGCCTCACCCAGCGGTCGGCCATCCGGATACCTGGCACGGTCATTTGGACGCCACGGTCAATACGGTGGCGACCGAGTCGGGTTTGCTTCCTTTGTCCGACATCTTCGGGGAAAGAAGACCCACCGGCAACTGCAAATTGTATCGTTTGCTGTTAAGATATGTTAAATGCCTTTTCTTTTCTCAATTATCCCGGCAAGAGACCCCAAACAGTGTGTGTGTGAGGTCTGAAAGCAGAAAGTCTAGAGATCTAGACGCATTGGGGTCCAGAGAGGTGATGGTGGTGATGAAGTGAAGGTGGGTGTGAGGGAGTGTGGGTGAGAGGGAGTGTGAGTGTGAATGAGAGTGGGAGTGAGTGTGTGTGTGTGTGTGAGTGTAAGTGAGCGTGAGTGAGAGTGAGAGTGGGAGTGAGAGTGAGAGTGAGTGTGAGCGCGAGTGAGAGTGAAGGTGGGTGTTAGTGAGCGTGGGTGAGTGAGAGTGTGTGCGATTGGAGAGTGAGTGTGAGTGAGTGCGAGTCTGAGTGGGTGTGAGTGTGGGAGAGTGAGTGAGTGTGAGAGTGAGAGTGAGAGTGAGAGTGCGAGTGCGAGTGCGAGTGCGAGTGCGAGTGAGAGTGAGAGTGAGAGTGAGAGTGAGAGTGAGAGTGAGAGTGGGAATGAGAGTGAGAGTGAGAGTGAGAGTGGGAGTGAGAGTGAGGGTGAGGGTGAGGGTGAGGGTGAGGGTGAGAGTGAGAGTGAAGAGTGAGAGTGAGTGAGCGAGAGTGATTGTGAGTGTGAGTGTGAGTGAGTGTGAGTGTGAGAGTGAAGGTGCGAGTGAGTCTGGGTGAGAGTGAGTGAGTGCGAGCGTGAGTGAGAGTGAGAGTGAGTGTGAGAGTGAGTGTGGGTGAGTGTGTGCGCGTGTGAGTGAGAGTGCGAGTGTGAGTGAGAGCGAGTGAGAGTCTGCGAGTGGGAGTGAGGAGTGTGAGTGTGAGTGGGAGTGGAAGAGTGAGTGAGAGTGAGTGTGAGTGCGAGTGTGAGTGAGAGTGAGAGTGGGAGTGTGAGGGAGTGTGAGTGTGAGTGAAAGTGGGAGGGTAAGAGTGGGAGAGTGAGAGAGAGCCACGAAATTTGCACTTGAGGTTCACCATGCGCTGTGCCTGCCACAAAATCATGCACTTCGAGGTTCACCATGCGCTGTGCCTGCCACGAAATC